ACAGAACAATGTTACACAGAACAGTAACCTTTATCACAGCCCTCCTTCCCACAGAGTTAACAGTGTGACAGAAAACAGCAACCTTTATCACAGCCCTTCCTCCCACAGAATTAACGGTGTGACACAGAACAGTGTGACACAGAACAATGTGAAACAGAACAGCAACTAATATCACAGGCCTCCCTCCCACAGAATTAACAGTGTGACAGAGAACAGCAACCAATATCACAGCCCTCCCTCCAACAGAATTAACAGTGTGACAGAGAACAGCAACCAATATCACAGGCCTCCCTTCAACAGAATAAACGGTGTGACAGAGGACAGCAACCTTTATCACAGCCCTTCCTCACACAGAATTAACGGTGTGACAGAGAACACCAACCTTTATCACAGCCCTCCCTCCAACAGAATTAACAATGTGACAGGGACCAGCAACCGTTATCACAGTCCTCCCTCCCAAAGTATAAACAGTGTGACACAGTACCGCAACCTTTATCACAGCCCTCCCTCCCACAGAATTAACGGTGTGCCACAGAACAGTGTGACACAGAACAGTAACCTTTATCACAGCCCTCCCTCCCACAGAATTAACGGTGTGACACAGAACAGTGTGACACAGAACAGTAACCTTTATCACAGCCTTCCATCCCACAGAATTAACAGTGTGACACAGAACAGCAACCTTCATCACAGCCCTCCCTCTCACAGTATAAACAGTGTGCCACAGAACAGCAACTTTTATCACAGCCCTCCCTCACACAGTATTAACAGTGTGACAGAGTTCAGCAACCTTTATCACAGTGACACAGAACAACAACCTTTATCACAGTCCTCCCTCCACCAGAATTAACAGAGTGAAACAGACCAGCACCCTTTATCACAGGCCTCCCTCCCACAGTATCAACAGTGTGACATAGAACCGCAACCTTTATCACACCCCTCCCTTCAACAGAATTACCAGTGTGACACAGAACAGCAACCTTTACCACAGGCTTCCCTCTCACAGAATTAC